ATAAAATCGGGACATCTGGTCACCCTATCCCAGACTCTGTTCCCCCCAGCTCTCGCCAGCCCCTCCTCCCCGGCTCTGCTCCCGCCAGCCCCCCGCCCGACTCTGTTCCCCCAGCTCTCGCCAGCCCCTCCTCTGCTCCCCCTGCCCTCCTCCCAGCCCGGCTCTGCTCCCCCCAGGCCACCCCAAAGCGAGGGCCCCAGTTTGCTCTTACTACATGGCCACTGCCCTTCCACCTGTCCCCATCAAGCGAGCTCCCAGCAGCAGCCAGTGCAGGGCCCATCCCCGTGACCCAGGTTCCCCTCATGCTGTGTTCTTGGGCTGCTCGGTATGGGGCAGATTCACCTCCCACAACTCTTAATTCACATATTAGGTTATTTCCAACCCCGAGCATTCAAAAGCCATGACCTGAAGGCACCCTCTCCTGCACCCCAAATCCTGAGTTTGATCTAAAAATCCTGAGATTTTAAAATTCTGGGTTTTCTAGTTGCAAACTGCTTTGTGGGTAACGGGACTCTTGGCACCAAGCTTTTCTCTGCAGTCATATGGAGCAAGGGTTCTGGGGAAAAACACTCAACTACTGCAGTCTGCTGATAAAACTGAAAACTGGGCAACAGTAATAGTTAGCCTTCCACACCCCCAGAGGTGTTGTGCCCACTGTTTATCATGCTGACCAGTAGTTTCATTGTTTGTCTGTAATCTCCCCATTAGGTTGTCATCTTTCTTATACTTAGGTTGTAAGCCCTTTTGGACAAGGGCTGCATTTTTAAGAATATAAGAAAGGCCATACTGAGTCAGACCAATGGTCTATTTAGCCCAGTATCCTGTTTTGCTACAGTGGCCACTGCCAGGCACTTCATAGGGAATTAGCAGAACAGGTAATCAAGTGATCCATCCCCCCCATCCATTACCAGCTTCTGGCAAACAGAGGCTAGGGACACTTCAGAGCATGGTTTTGCATCCCTGCCCATCCTGGCTAATAGCCATTGATGGACCTATCTTCCATGAACTTATCTAGTTCTTTTTTGAACTCTTTTATAGTCTTGGCCTTCACAACATCCTCTGACAACAAGTTCCACAGGTTGACTGTGTGCTGTATGAAGAAATACTTTGTTTTAGACGTAGTGTCTATTGATTTCATTTCATGACCCCTAGTTTATGAGAAGTAAATAACACTTCCTTATTTACTTTCTTCACACCAGTCATGATTTTATAGACCTCTATCATATCCCCCCTTAGTAGTCTCTTTTCCAAGCTTTAATGTTCCAGTTTTATTAATCTCTTCTCATATGGCAGCCGTTCCATGCCCCTAATAATTTTGTTGCCCCTTTCTGAACCTTTTCCAATTCCAATATATCTTTTCTGAGATGAGGCAACCAGATCTGCAAGCAATATTCAAGATATGGGCATACCATGGATTTATATAGAGGCAAGGTGATATTTACTGTCTTATCTATCCCTTTCCTAATGATTCCCAACATTCTATTTGCTTTTTTGACGGCTGCTGCACATTGAGTGGATGTTTTCAGAGAACTATCCACAGTGACTCCAAGATCTCTTTCTTGAGCAGTAACAGCTAATTCTGACTATTTTTGTTGTTTCTGTACAGTACCTAACAATGAGCCCCCATCGGTGACTGGGGACCTTAGCTACTACAACAATACAAATACTAATAGCAGTTAACGGAACATTTGGATGGCTGTATGTACAGCTGGCAGTGGGTGATGTGTGGCCAGTAGGATGCCGGTTCATACTCTTCCCTGCTCCCACTCCCCTTGGAAGTAAACATTCATTAAGAGCTGAGAGGCTTGTGTTACATAGCTAAAAGTGGGGAATTAAAATCCTGTCAGAAATAATATCTACAACTAATTTTCCACACAATTTAGCTCCAGCTAGATCTGTAACTGATGTGGACCACAAAAGAACTATTCATACGGTTTTCTTGAGCTCACAATTTGAGGGGGAAAATACAGTTTTACACTTTTAACCATCTTACTGTTTAGCACTATTGCTCACGAAACAGAACCTTGCTTCATGGTAACATTCACCCCTCATGATACCCAGTGTAAAGCAGAACTTTACAGATAACATTAGTCTTTGTTGCATGTTTAGTTGTCCATAAATGATTTTTCTTTTTCATCCAACAAAAGGGAGAGAGTTTGAGATAAACATCATGTCACAATTTTACAGAAATAAATCCATTTATTTTTTATAACATTCCTTTTTCTTTTTAAAATGAGTACAGTACTTGTAGCTGAAGAACTCTGAAAAAAAAGCTACTGAAGACCTGGCACTATGTTGTTGAGAATTACACACCTGGGCTGAGAGATAACACCTTTATAAATATTTGACAGATAAAGATTAAATTTAGTGTTTTTAAACAAAACTACGGAAGTTACATTCACCACCTGGTATTTTTTGAAGACAAATGTGTATTTCAAAATCTGTAAAAATTATTCATTTCCTAAATTTTTGTCATCATGCTTCATTATAACCTGTTAAAATTTTACATCTGTGCAGCTGATTATGCCCAACTGTCAAACAAATGTTAATCAATGTAACAGGAGCAATAGCAAGCTAATACTGCACAATCATAAGTGGACTGATTTAAGAAATACATATTTTTCACAAATGTCACGCAAACCCCTGTTCTTGGTACCATATACATCACTCAAGGATTTTTTCCACTTACATAAGTAAGGCTAAGTGAGAAAACATGTCAGAACATGATTACATAATAAAAAGTATATTATTCATTACAAATTTCTTATCTATTATTACATACAGGGTACTGTGCTGTAATTTCTAAAGAAGAGTGCAAATGAGCAGGACTGACTTCTCTTTAAAGACCTTAGATACTTCCATGTGGCCTGCAAGCAACACTGGTGAGGACAGTTCATGAGTGTTATACTGATTTGGTGTACATGTGCTGGTACAGGACAGTGAGGTGCTCTACAGGTTGTCAATAAAGGCAGCCATTCTAGTTTTCTACATGAAAGTGCAGGCACTGTGAAAAAGCAACTTTAGAATTGTTTCACTTGTCTTCATGTAAACATTTATCAGTCTGTCATATAGTGTATGTATTGATTGATCTACACACACATACACACCGTTTATTTTAGGTAGCTATATCAAGAAATTCTTCTAAATTCTTTTTGATGTGTGGTGGCTGAGATGCAGCCTGGATTAACAGACTTTGACCCATTTGTGCAAAAAGTGCTTTTGATAATTTAGCTGTAGCTGTCCGAATATTTCCTCCAGCTCCGGGTAGCGATCCACTGTTTGTCATGTTTCCTAAGAGATGCCATAGGACAACTAAAACTTTCTGCTCTATAGCATGAGGCTTCCGTGGGTATAGCTCCATAACAAGATCTGAAAGAATGAAGAGAACACAATACAACCGTAATTACCATGCTGTAGTATATTATTTGTATTTTGTTTGCAAATACGATGACATCTATG